AGGCCAGAGCTTTTGGTGGTGGAAGTGTGATGGTGTGGGGAGGAATTACAGCAGCTGGCAAGACCCCACTTGTGACTGTTCATGGCAATTTGGCAGCACACCGATACTTTGACGAGATTATTCGGCCACATGCCGTTGCAGCCTTTCAAAACCAGGGACTAACCGTTATGAATGACAATGCCCCAGCGCATAGTGCTTGTCTAACCACCCAGTTCCTACATGAAAACATCCCAATCCTTCAACCGTGGCCTGCCTGCTCCCCTGAATTGAATCCCATTGAGCGTCCATGGGACTTGCTCGATCGCGGCATTCGAAGGAGACAACACCAGCCTCAGACACTTCCTCAGCTCGAGAGAGCATTGCATGAAGAGTGGAATAACATCCCTCAACAGGCAGTGCAGCGATTGATAGATTCCATGCAGCGACGATGTCAGGCCGTCATCAATGCAAGAGGACATCATACGCGCTATTGATCGTGTTACTTTTTAGGACCCTCCCCCCCTCCAAACACTTTTGTAAGCCGGGAATGAACTTGTTATGTTAACTTTCCGTATTGTTGTTGCTTTTTCCGTTTTTAAAATTGATTGAAATAGTAGTCTAGAAATGTTTAACAATGTCGGCTCATTGTGAAACTAGCTATTTTCCTTTTAACACAGTGTATACTTAAAATGTATAATATATTAGCTGACCACCAAACAATGCTCAACCACTTCGCAGAAGCCTCAAAGTCAAAGCTTTTTAGACTTACAATAAGCATCGGGAAAACTGACGTTCTTCACAAGCCTGCCCCGCAAACTAACCCACTGTCTCCAAACATCACTATCATTATCAATGTCAACAGCCTGAAGAATACCAACAACTTTAAATACCTTGGAAGTATCATCTCTGCAGACGGCTCCATCGATCAAGAAATTGATTCAAGAATCAGCAAAGCCAGCCAAGCTCTCGGTAGACTGAAAAACAAGGTACTAAAACAGCACAATGTCCGGCTGTCAACAAAAATCAAAGTGTACAAAGCCGTTGTGCTTTCCTCCCGAAGCACACCAACAAATTAGAGCAGCTCCACCAAAGGGCTCTCCGCAGCATACTCGGCATCCGGTGGCAAGACCCCGTCTCCAACATTGAGGTCAAGCTCTCAAAGCATAGAAAGCATACTTTTCAAAGCCGAACTGAGATGGGTCGGCCATGTCATCCGCATGAAAGACCACCGAATGCCCTAACAACTGCTGTACGGCGAACTCGCAAGTTGCAAAAGAAATCTCGGGAGGCCAAAAAAAAGCGGTTCAAAGACACGATAAAGGCAAACTTCCAGTTTGCACAGGTTACCCCAAAAAAACTCGAAAGAACTGCCACCGAAAGAAACGCCGGGCGCAGTGCGGTCCATCTTGCCAGCAGAAACAGCGATATCAACTACAGGGAGAAGCTGACTATCGGAAGAGAGAGGAGACATAATCCAACCACCCAGGGGCGAAGGCTGACTTGTTTGACAGGGTAATCAAAGTGAAACGGGACCAGATATGGCCTGTAGGCCTAGATATCACACAAGAATCTTACCCGAGGCGGCGACTCTGAGTTGTGAATGAAAACAAATCCGGAATTCATATTGTGTGTTCAACCGCCAAAATAATCGGGAAAGTTTCTTATTAAATATCAGTTCCAACTAAAATTAAATTTAACTTTAGATGTGAATACATAAACACAAAGCAAAGAAGCAGAGATGTCAATACTAGATCTACCAGTGAGTCTAACTCTTTGGTAGAACCAGAGAACCAGAGAGGTAAACTCTCTGGTAGAACATGACAATTATCATTTTTAAAATTTCACATTTAGCTGTTTTTGTTAGCCTTTCGCGGCCAGGAGCTGGTGTCATAATCGAGGTCACGATCTGATTATAGGACGGTAAAAAGTTGAGGAAAAAAACACCAAGCACTCCCAGCAGTAAAGAGATTGTTAGGAGTTAGTTCCCTTCACATTTGTGAGGTAGACTCGACCAGTGTTAGTTAGCTTACATAAATCAGGGCTTGTGATTGATTTTAACTGTGGCCCCAAAGGGGTGAACAGGATATATGTGGCAATGAAACAGCTTTGACTGCTATGCACATGTTCCCTTCAAATCTATTGATAGACTCTTCCAGCCTCACTTTAAGCTTACTTAATCAAAGCTTGCGACTGCTTATGGAGTGGCTCGAGAGGGGTGAGGAGGCTATTTCTGTGGCCGTGAAACCGTTTTGAATGTTAGGCATACTGTTCATTGTTGATTACAAACGTCTTTTTACATTTAATTTAAGAGGTTTACGTTTATGGATGAATTTGACAGCGGCAATGTTTCAAAATTAGGAAGGGAAGCAGTGATTATTTGATTATATAGACGCTTCGCCCCTGCAACCACCCCAACCACAACATTCAAGTGTCCCCACTGCAACAGACATTGTACATCCAAGATCGGATTCAACAGCCACATACACTTCTACAGGTGAGCTGCAAGATTTCATTGCCATCTTCGGCAACGAAGGTCTACCTATATATATATATATATATATATATATATATATATATATATATATATATATATATATATATATATATATATATATATATATATATATATATATATATAATATATAAAGAAAAATAACCCGGCTCTATCACTACTTACAATGTTTTCAGTAGGCCATCATCTCTACCACCTTACGTGTATCACTGCAGTTTCGTTTTTCATGAAATGGCCCAATTGCCAACAGCGCTGAAGCAGTGTCAAGCCAGTCAAGCTCGCATTTTTCACCCCGATCTTTCTCTCTTGGCAGGTGATGAGAATGTAGTGCATCTCTCTGAAGACGACGATGACGGTCTCGACGCGAATATTCAGCCTCGGTATCCCGTCAGTGCCGGCGGAGTACAATATGAGAAGGCCAAGGTGTGCATTGAAAACTTTTGGGAAATTGTTGGAAGCGGAAAAGCTTTCAAAAATAATGAAAGTGACTCGCAACACAGGTTGGTCTTGTACATGTATATGTGCACAAATACCTCTATGGCCGGTAACGTTATGTAAGCTTGTTGTGATGGGCAATCTTTTTAAACTGAGCTATTTTACTTTTACTTCCGTTATAGTCTCGTTTTACCGATCCTCTAGATCAAGCTGCTCTTGACATTTCATTCACTTTGCTTTCGTTACTTCTCCCTTTTAGATTCTAGACTCATCTTTCAGCGAAACTAGAGTAATCGAGTAAAGAAAATTAAGATAAGATAAACTTTTTATTGATCCTTGACGAGGTAAACTTTGAGCTGGTAGGCCTATATCTGAACATCAACGTACGAAGATTCAGCATCAACAAAGAAATGCGATTATTACATTACAATACATTCATAGAAAATTATACACGTCCAAAGGTGCACAATTCACACTCGCTTGCACGCGCGCACACAAACAATTTGCCTCATGGGCTCACTTATTCAACAAAGAGGCCTATGATGTTCCCTTGTCTACCCGGTGGTTCGGAGTTCGATTCCCATCAGCATCGTTGTTTTTTTTTTCATTCTGGTGTATTATTATCATTATTATTATTATTATTATTATTATTATTATTATTATTATTATTATTATTATTATTATCATTATTATTATTATTATTATCATCATTATATAAAGAAAAATAACCCGGCTCTATCACTACTTACAATGTTTTCAGTAGGCCATCATCTCTACCACCTTACGTGTATCACTGCAGTTTCGTTTTTCATGAAATGGCCCAATTGCCAACAGCGCTGAAGCAGTGTCAAGCCAGTCAAGCTCGCATTTTTCACCCCGATCTTTCTCTCTTGGCAGGTGATGAGAATGTAGTGCATCTCTCTGAAGACGACGATGACGGTCTCGACGCGAATATTCAGCCTCGGTATCCCGTCAGTGCCGGCGGAGTACAATATGAGAAGGCCAAGGTGTGCATTGAAAACTTTTGGGAAATTGTTGGAAGCGGAAAAGCTTTCAAAAATAATGAAAGTGACTCGCAACACAGGTTGGTCTTGTACATGTATATGTGCACAAATACCTCTATGGCCGGTAACGTTATGTAAGCTTGTTGTGATGGGCAATCTTTTTAACCTGAGCTGTTTTACTTTTACTTCCGTTATAGTCTCGTTTTACCGATCCTCTAGATCAAGCTGCTCTTGACATTTCATTCACTTTGCTTTCGTTACTTCTCCCTTTTAGATTCTAGACTCATCTTTCAGCGAAACTAGAGTAATCGAGTAAAGAAAATTAAGATAAGATAAACTTTTTATTGATCCTTGACGAGGTAAACTTTGAGCTGGTAGGCCTATATCTGAACATCAACGTACGAAGATTCAGCATCAACAAAGAAATGCGATTATTACATTACAATACATTCATAGAAAATTATACACGTCCAAAGGTGCACAATTCACACTCGCTTGCACAAGCGCACACAAACAATTTGCCTCATGGGCTCACTTATTCAACAAAGAGGCCTATGATGTTCCCTTGTCTACCCGGTGGTTCGGAGTTCGATTCCCATCAGCATCGTTGTTTTTTTTTTCATTCTGGTGTATTATTATCATTATTATTATTATTATTATTATTATTATTATTATTATTATTATTATTATTATTATTATCATTATTATTATTATTATTATCATCATTATTTTTTATTTTTTTATTATTGGTTTTAATATTATTAGTTTTATTATAATTACTATAACTATTGTAAAATCAACTCCTACCCAAAACTAAAGTCTTTTTTGCCAGCATGAATAAAGAATCAAGAGTGCCTTCGAAAGTGTACATTGCTTTCTGTCAGGCAAGGGATGCTTCTGCGATCTCTGTAGCTAACGTGGCCATGTACGTAAAAAAACAACGAAAAATCCCCCCAGCAACAAACAAACAAAAATCTACTGCTCTCTCTCTCTCTCTCTCTCTCTCTCTCTCTCTCTCTCTCTCTCTCTCTGTCTTTTCTCTCTGTCTCTCTGTCTCTCTGTCTCTCTGT